AATTATGAAAAAAATTAACGTGGGTTTAATCGATGTTACACCTTGTACCTTGTGTAGAGTCTAGAAGAATTCAAAATGGCATTGGAAAAATGGAAGTTTAACCTTGTTCCAAAGCAGTAGTAGTCAATTACCAGCTTAAAATACTGGAAATAACAGTTGACAAGTGTTTATTTATAGCAACAGAAGTCACCAATAGTAGTAAAGGAGAGAACTCTATAGTGACTATTGTCGCCTGTGGTGTGGTAAAGGTTAAGGAAATTGAACATAGAATAAGCTGCGCTAGAAGTAGTTTCATCTAACATCACAAACTGCTACAAAACCAAAACATTAAGCTGAAAATTTGTGTCATGTTCATAAATAGCCTCATCAGATGAAAACTTTAATATGGATAACATGCATGGCACCAAAACTGTACAGAAATGTATCTAAACTGTCAGTTGTATACAATCACATTCTAAGATCAATGGTAAAAATGACTTTTAGTGAATTAAACCTGTAGGTCTTGTGAGGACCATCTTTCTTTAAACTTTGTGGACTGGTGTTACAAAATCACAAACAAAGAACTGTAGCAAATAGCAGAAACCACATTACTTGAAGATTTTCAGCAACAACTAAAATAGCACATGTAACTCAAAGAGAAAATAGTGATATAATCAAGATGTTGATACTCCACACCACTTCAAATAAAAGGTTAGGAAAGAAAGTCCCAACGATACTAGAAAGAGCAATAATAGCTACTTGAAAAACTATTTTCCTGAAAAATTGTTTTAAGAGAAAAGATTTTATAAATTTCATCTTAAAATGACACTGGCTGCTTGGTCAATGAATGCCAAATGTTTCCTTATAAGGAAACGGCTAATATTACCATTAACATTAATACCACTCTTCTTACAATGAATAGGTTCATCACCAGCTTAGAAATTTAGTCAACAAAAATGTATCACCATGTTCTGGGGGACCTGGACTCTCGGACAGGTGTCTCGAAGATGTTTAACAGTCTGTGAAGAGCAACAAGGGAGAAGGTTTCCAAGATAGCAGTATCTAACAATGTGAGCCACAGGACAGCTGTGCAATATTTCCGTAGCATTAGTTAGCAGATGGCTGCCAGATGCAAGCCTTTGCCTACCTCAGCCAACATAAAGAGAAGAAAGGAATGAGTTAAGAATAGAAGGGTTCAGACTTTTGGCAAGGTGCAATCTTCTTGGATGAATTATCTTTTGACTAATTCTCTGCTAGTGGATGTATTTGGGTCTGCAGAAATCCTAGTCAGGAGTTTTCCAAGAACAGCCTGCAACCAACTGTCGAACACAATGGGTTTTCTGTCATAGTCTTGGTAAAATGTGTTGGGAACATTGACAATGCAAAATATATTCTGATCTTTAAGGAATGACCTCCATTTTCCAGTCATCAGATGGCCAAGGACACCATATATTTCAAGCAAGACAGAGCTTCATACTATATTGCAAAAGTGACCTCAGAATAGTTGAAGCAAAATGGAATTTGAGTTTTCTCATAGGTAAGTCAATCACTGGACATGAACTTATTGAACATGTCTGGGCTTTATTAGACAGATTGCATAAGAAAACTGTGAAACCTGATTCCCATGACGAATTGCTTCAACTTTTGCACTCAACTTGGACAGAAATTACCAAAATCAAAGATTGTAGATCTTGTCACTTCCTTACCTGACAGAGTGGAGACACTCAGAGATGCTATGAGAGCATCAGCAAATTATTAATGAATGTATTCATTAAATAGACAATGCTCCCCAAAAGTATAGCTTTGCTGATTATTCTTAATTTTCAAATTTAGCAGGTGTCAATTTACTTTTAACATGTCGTTATATACAAGTTTTTTTTTCTAATTTTACTTTTTATTTCTGTTGGTACTATGTTATTTTTAAATCCTGGTTTCTAGATATGACTCACTAATATGATCTCAGTAAGAAAATCAATCAAGTTTTCATAGGTAAACCCTTCACTTCTCATTAAACACTCAATCAAGGCAAATATATACAACATATTTGGTTGAAAAGATCTTAGTTGGCATGTGATATCAGAAGCCAAAGTTAATGTTAGACTAATTTACACTCAGCAGAGTTCTCCACCAATCAGTCAACTAAAATGGCGAAGCTTAAAAAATGAACTGCACTTGCATGTATCTCTTCATGTCAATATAGTTGAAAGAAGACAAAAAAGGATGGATAAGAAAAAGGACCTAAACAGAACTGTGCTACTAATGCAAGAGATTTTCTTTACAAGAATTCAGAAAAGCCTGTTTCCTAAACTAATGGTAAAGACCATTCCTTAATAACTGGTATGTTTGAAGGACAGATTTTTTAAAATATGAATAATAATTCATCAAATGATGAATTATTAAAATTATTTAATTTGAAAACTTTTTTAAAATTTTCAAAATTTGAGTTTTATTTAATACCAGATCATGTTCCAAGAAAGATCAACATATGGCACTGTGGTTAACTTGCATTTATATAGAAATTTTAATTTCTTAAAAAATATGGCTGTTTTATGCTACTTGTTTCACTTAGATATTTTGGAGTTTATTTTCAATAAATAAGTTCCATTTATCAGCCTGCACCCTCTCTTATTTTTTTATTTGTCCATTTTACAAAGGTTGGTTGAAAAGTTCATAGGCTGACCAAAATACTCTCATGGAATGTGACCAAATGAGGTTCATTTTTCAACAGAGACTGCAGTCAACACACTTCTTCCATTGGTGTTGCAGTGCTTAGATCCCACTGGTGAAAAAGCTTTCATCCTGTTGATAACAAAAGTCAGCAATAGCAGACATAACATCATCATCATCACTGCAATACTGATTCCCAGCCAAGTGTTTTTTTCATGTTAAGGAATAGATAGACAGAGGGGGCCAAATCAAAAAAATGGAGATGCTGATCAATCAGTTTAAAGCCACAGTCATGCACAGCATACATTGAAATACAGGACTTGTGTGCTGGAGCATTGTCCTGAGGAAACAAGACCTCTTTCATCAGTTTCCCTGATCATTTGGTTTTGATAGACTTTTGTAACTGCCTAAGCCTAAATATAGTACTTTCCATTGATGGTATGGACCTTTTGAAGATAGTCAATAAACACAATGACTTTTGTATCCTAAACAAACTGAGGACATCACCTTGCCTGCAATGAAACAGTCTTCTTTATGGCAGGTGAGGAGGGGTGTTTTCCCCTGCATAGATTGTTCTCTTGTCACTGGCTTGAAGTCATGAATCCAACTGGATCTGCTTCAAACAAGGTCAGATTTTCTGTGATGTGATCAGCTTGGGACGTTTCTGATCAGGTATCAGAAGACATGGCACCCACTGAGAAGAAACTTTCATGTCAAGTTCATTGTGCAGAATATTCTCAAGTCTCTTACAGGATATGTTAATAGCATTTACAATCAATTGCCTGTCCTCTATCACCATATCATGAACACAATGTTTTCCTCGGTAGTGGCAGATGCAGGACATTCGTACCTTAGGCCATCTTCAAGACACTCCCTTTCCCCCTCCTAAATTCAGCTGCCCACTTTTGCACTGTTGATAAAGCTGGAGTGTCATCCCCTAATGTAGAAATAGCATGAATATCCTTGAGGGCTAAACTTTTTTCTGCCGGTACTTGATAGCACCACAATGCCAAATTTTGTCAATTTTAAAGAGAAGTCACTACCTGTTACATTTGAAGTCACCTTTGAACAGTCAAATGTCAGTTTACTTGGAAAAAAACAATAAAGATGTTAATAAAAAAAAGAGAGTTGAACTTAATGCATGCAAGATTTCACAGCTCTAGCATCACTCCTTCATAGTCAGCCTATGAACTTTTCAGCCCTTCCTTGTCCAAAGGACACTATCAGGAAACCTATTTTAATTTCTATATCTTTCAAATACTTTTTGCAGCAAATAACATTAACTGAGGTGACTGCAAATAAAACTGAGTTATCCTGAGTTTGGGTTTATGTAAAGCAACTGATAATTGATGTCATTTAAAAAAAATCTGACAATACATTGTAACTATAATCCATAATCACCATGTAGTTTCTCTTGAAAATGGGTTTCTCAAAGAGCTAAAATGGAATATTTAAGACACTTAATTTACAAAACATTAGTCTCTGTTTTCCAAAATATCTTTTGTGTAGTGTTCAAAAGAAAAATAATTTCATCTACTGAATAAATCAATAAAAAAATAAAACAAATCTGTAAAAAAAAAAAAAAAAAAGGTTCTCTGCCCAACCCACTTCTCAAAACCTGATGTTTGATCATTTTGGATCAACCATTACATTTCTTTCATGTTTTTTTTTTTTGTTTGTTTTTTAATCCCTTCCTGATTGAACTGAGAAGTTTTCTGCACCCCCACATAACTGTTACATAATGGTAATGCCTCTTAAACAAAATAACTATTTAACATTTTTTTTAACATATCTTACAAGGCTAAAAAAGGGGGTTTAGTCCAAGACTATGAGAGAGAGAGAAAGCAAGTGACAAGATAATCAACATTTATTGAAGGCTGACAGTTAAATCAATACAGCCAATGATACTTTAACTGCAGATATGAGAAACATGAATTTTACATTAATGCCCAGAAAGAGTGGTAAGGAGAGGTATAAAAAAAACAAAGAAAGAATTGAAGAACTCCTTTACCAATACATGATATTTAAGATTAAAATACATTTCCATAGGTTATGTAAATGATGTAATCTGCTTGCATTATAAATGACATTTCAAAACAATATGCCATCATTTGTAGAAAATTAAGGTAGTGGGAAAGAAAAAGATAGAACGGATGGTGGGGTGTAAAAGAAAAAAAAATGGATGACTTCTTTCCATTGCATATTAAATTAGATTTGCAAGTGGAAAATTGCATCAAAGAACTTTAAGAAAGAAAAAGCATTTTGAACTCTTTCAATTTTTTTGTACATTCTGTTGTTGTTTGGGAGAAGTATGCTTGTTTTACAAGACATTTACTGAAAGAAAACATCAACATTTAGAAACTCAACTTTAGCCAAAGAAAAAGAAAGGAAAAAAGGCAAAACAGAAATAAGAAAAATGTGAATGAAAAGTAAGGGAAGAAGGAAAAAAAAAAAAAAGAAAAAAAAGAGAAATAAGTTTTGAAGGAAAAGAAAGAAAAAGAAATAAGGAAAGAAACTGAAAAGTTATTTATTCTTTGGTTAAATCTGAGAAAAAGGAATGTAGAAAAATAAAATCAAGAAGCAGGAAGCTATAACTGAATGAGAAAAAGGAAAAAAAAAAAAAAACTGTGCTGTTATGACAAAAGTTTTCCTATAACAGATTTCTTACCAACAAAGGAAAAGGAAAAATCGTGAAGGCAGATGATGCCAAGTTGTAAATATGATGAAGATATGTAGTGTGACTAAATGTTATTCTTTATCTCCTTCACCCAGCCCAAAAGCAACAACAATATCAGGCTATGTTCCCTTTAGAAGTTTAATCTTAAAACAACTTTTAAATAAGTAAATAGATATAAATGCATGAAATGCTTTTACATTTGAAAAGATATAAGAAAGATTAAAACCTATATGCAGATTAAAGTTTGTTTTGTTTTTTAAATTACATGACAAGGTAAAATTACATTTGATACATTCCTGGTTTTATAAACGTAACCTACATTTACAATGTGCACCTTTGTAAAACAAAGGAAAGCAAGACCTCATTAAGGTATTGCAAATTTAATATTTACCTGATATACACATGTAAATTTGCCCAGCTATGAAATATAGGTATCATAAATTTATCAGATCTTAATTTAATCTATTTATACAAATATGCACTGTATGTAATCAGGCCTCACATAATTTGGTAGTTTTGCTTTGAGAAAAAAATTTTTCCTTTTCTTTTATTTTTTTTTCCTGGTTAACTTTCAGTGATTTTGAATCTTGTTTGTTACTGAGAGATAACACTGCAATAAATGAAATGATGTATTTGAAATGAACAAACTTGAAATTACTTCCAGTAAATAAATACATATCTCTTCCTCTCTGAAATATTATATATATATATATATATATATATATATATATATATATATATATATATATATATATATTTATCTTTGTGTGTGTGTGTGTGTGTGTATCTTAAATTCAAGTGAACAACTACAGAATTATATACACAACACACACAAACTTCATTATATATATATATATATATATTTGGAGATATTAAGACAAGAATATCTGTACATAAGGTTTCAGTTGCATTTTAACCACTGTGATATATAACACAAAGTATTATATTAACATTCATCAAGAAGCTTTCCAAGAAGTATGTTCTAAAGAACATACTTCTTGGTTCTTTTAAAGACTTCAGCATTGAACAATCATTATTTCTAAATAACATCACAAAGAGAAGATTATTGAAACTATAAAATATCGTGTAAGAATCAATAGAAAAAAAATCAGGAAGATTGATGCCAAAATGGATATAAAGTCAATTTTATCCTCAACGTTCCTTTACAAGAAGATTGAATAAAAACAAAGATTATAATTGTTCAAGTATTCCACATACTTTTTTTAGGTATTATCTTTATCTTTGTTGTTTATAACAACATATAATGGATAAAGACATTATTTAACTTTCCTCAAGTACATATTCTCTTTTTAAAAAAAAAAAAATAGTGGCAAAATATTAAAATTCTAAATATTTAATATATTCATCATAATATGAATATAATGGACTAAAATATATATAGAATGAAAACAACAACTCTTGATTTAATATAAGATGTATATCTGTATTTTATTTACATACAAACATTATCTATGCTCAAAACCAATGGCACAGAATGACTATTTGAAAAAAAATGTCTTATAATTAACTTTTAAGTTTTAGTTTACTACAAAGAAAATAGGTGGAAACTGCTTTTTTAGTTTTTTTTGTTTTTTGTTTTTTTTTATTTACAAGAAACATTACCCGTTTCTCTTATTTCAAAACCGGAATAACCGGTTTCAAATATTTCTATTTATATCTTTATCAGTAATTACTGTAATTATTGTTTATTAAAAAAAACAAATTCAACATTTTTACTTCACTGATGTAAAAATCTTCAAAATAAATAAATAAAAATGTAAATAAAATTTTTTAAATAAGTCAGGTGTTTTCTCTCTAAATGCAAATAATCTAGTTACACTATATGAATGTTAAAACAAAAATTACATTTGTTTGTACATTATTTTTAGTTGCCCACACACAACAGTTTATATCATGGTTCTAGAAAAGAAAGTTACACAAAGAAATAAAACTTACATCTTGTATTAAGAAAACAAGGGTACCAAAAATAAAATTGTTTTTAAAAAGATTGTATTTTTATAATACTGTTTGCAAATATGTGATTTTTTTTTTCTGTATTAGAAGATGCAAAACTGTTTTATTTCTGTTTACCAAAAAAAAAATCATATTGATCTGATTGATGTTTGCTGACCATCATAGATGGTAAATTCTAACCTTTGACAATAACAATCTATAAAGATTAACGTGTGTAAGTAATTTAAGATCAGTTTATTCTCAGACTTAAGATGAAAGAATAAAACAAAGATATAAAAGAATTTTCAAATATTTGAATAAATTAAGTATACTTTGAAAATCTCTATAAAAAGATTTTGTATAATTATTTTTTCTCAAATTGTAAAGTAGGAGTTATAATAAAACTGAAAATCTATCAAAGAAAGCAAAACTGTATTTTCTTTATTTTGTATTTTTTCAAATTTCCAATGTAATTCAATGATTTGTCAGGTGACTTTTTACAAACTAACCAGAATTCATGGCTCTCACAAATTATCTTTCAAACATGTAACAATTATTGTCTGCATTTGGGTAATTAAGTCTATTTCATAAAATTAATTAGTTGTGGGTGATTTATATTAAAGAAAAATATTTTAACTTAATTTTCACACAAAAGAATCTTTTTAATAAATTCAATCACTGATGAAATAAGCATAGAAAGTTTTATTGAAATTCAATAATTAAAGTGAATTTTCATAGAATTTTAAATTGAACATTAATATTTTGTTATTGATTTTCATTGATACATTTTTTTTTAACTGCCAATATCTCCAAGCACAACAAATATTTTCAGCTGTGAACATAATTTTTAAATTAGTTTGCTTCAATTATTCTTTCTCTAATGACAAACTTGAGGAAATGCAAATACTAGTTTTATGTATGAATATAGAATTTATTTTTCTTATGGGCGTCAATTTGGTCCAGTCAATTTTCATTGAGCATACCTAATCTACACACAATAATTTTTGTAATCAACCAATACAAGATTAAACAAGATATGAGTGAAAAATCTGCAGTCCAAAGCACTACACTTACCATTTTAGTACTCCCACCTTATATAGGAGCAGGTGATGAGGTACCTACCACCACCCAGATTACTATTAAAAGTGAGGTATAAACAAATATAAAACCTATCCCTATACAAAGCAACATCAGCACTCAGCCATTTTCAGTGGTGAATGACAATAGATGACAACAATCTTTGTCTTGTGCAAATTCTCCATCAAATGTTTCAAATCAAAGTTACCTCTTTTAGAAATGCAATTCTTTAACTAGCAGGTTTGTTTGTTTGTTTAAAAATACATCAAAATGGCTTCTTAAAAAAATAATACCCTGAAAATTTAATGAAAATAGTCTCCATAAATATAAACATTTCTTATAAGCTTTTATTTAGACTAATTAATATTGATTGGATAACAATACTTTGATCTGTATACTATCCATAGCTTTGCTCATATAGCGGTGGCTATATCTGATACATTAAAGGGAGCTTTGGAAAGGATTCTTGCGAATTACTGGATACTTTGTAGTCATAAAGAGTACCCAAAGCACCAAACACACCACATGTGATCAAAACAAAAATGAGGAGTTTGGAAAATAGTGAAAATAAATCAAATCAGAACTCAAGATATTTGCTAGATCCATGTCATTCATTTAGAAACATAAAAAGATCAATAGAGTATAATTAATACACCTACATGATATAAATACCAAATATTAAAATCAGTTAAAAAAAAAAAAAAAAAAAAATAATCAGAACTGAAAACAAAACTATTTTAATCATTATTTAAAAATAATCAGCTAAGATATATATATATATATATATATATATATATATATATATTTTAAGACACTTATGTTTATACATTCTTTTATGATGGTGGTTCTGTATAGGATACAGGTTCAATTCCTGTCGGAGGACGAATATTTTCTATGAAAATTTCTCTGACATTCAAGCTGGTAAATATTGTCTAATACTGTTTATTATAAACAGAGCATTTACTTAAATTTTTGTATCTATAAAAAGAATGTATAAACATAAAAATGTCTTAAAATAATTGTGGGACTTTGTCCATTTCATATATATATATATATATATATATATATATATATATATATATATATATATATATATATAATTAAGTTGCTTAGCATGATAGTGTCCAATTCTGATCTTGAAAAGTTTATTGCATAACATTTGATCTTTATGATTATTGAAGTATTGACAGACACGTGTCTTATATGCAAAGAAATGCATATCTTTATTCTTATTCAAAAGTCTTTATTCAAAATTTGATGCTTAAAAAAATAACCTATATAATGTTACATAGATTCTCCTTGCACACATAAACAAATTACTTGACAAACTTAAAAACTGATAACTTGGTAAATCTCAGTTTCCAGCAACTAAGAAATTATATATTATTTCCTTTTTATCAGATAAGTGTTGTGGGGCCTAAATTGTTAACAGTATTATCAAATTGCAGTCAAACAGTTATTGGTACATTCACATTTTGAATTTAACTTCTAAAAAGAAATCTAAGAATAAACCTACAAACTAACTTTTAATTCTTGTATAAAAAGAAGACTCTTCACTAATTCAATCCAACTACAAAGACACCAACAAATGTGTGAAAATAAAACAATTGGGGAAAAATTATACAAAAATTTGCCACTTTTTAAAAATTGTTTCAGTCTCTTTTTTTTTTTTTTTATCACAAACCTCTATCATGAGGCAATACATTCCTTCATTTAGTAGTTAGAAAATGAATTGATAAAAATGTCAAAAATTTCAAGTTTCATCATTTAACTTATAAAACAAATAAGGAACCACTTTAGGCTGGTTT